AAGGGAAATGAGGCTGTAAAAATTAGCAGAGGTGTTCCATCAGGACTGCTCCTTCTTTCTACGGCATTAATCACTTTTTCTTGGGGTATGGAAAATGATGAATTAAGATTTTCTTTTAATCCAGACATGATATTGAACCAAAAAATATGACACAAGGCCAGCTGAATAGCCTAACTGATGAATGAAAAACATTCAAATGGAAAAAAATAGATGGAAGAAAGGAAAATGGAGGGATGGTGCAGATGAGCTCAGGCGGGTTAGATGCACGCACAAGAGGCAGGAGAAAAGAAGTGGGTGTGAGTGTTAGAAGGTTCAGGAGCCTGGCGAGCACAGAGGCATGGAGGCCTCACATTTCATAAGATTGAAATATGGATACAGTTTCTGTGGAAAGGAACATGAAGAGAATTTATAGATGAGAGACCCGTTGTTTGTGACATTGAAAAATGAGACAGTGCGAGCATCATAGTCTAGGAAAACCCCAATACGCCAGGGAGGAACACTCAGGGAGAGGGGTATCTTTAAGGGATCAGAGGAGGGAGACGGGGCAAATGCGTAATACTGGAAACTCTGTAACCCTATAACACAGTAGCTACATATAGGTTGATACTGCAAGCAAACAGGTTGATAATTTTCATGTTCTTGGGATAAAAGTCTCATAAAATTTCTCTGTCGGTTTTCATCACATACCCCAAGGATCCAGGCACGTTTCTGTGACACAGCTACCTCCCAGTAATGTTTTCCTGTTGTAATAATCGGGGAGCTGGAGACCAGGATCTTGCAAATCACCATACAAAATATGCATTGGATTGTCCAGGAGGTTTCAGGGAAAACATTAGTCCTGTATCTGCAGAATTGACGTTTGATTTACGCTCTGGAGGAATCAAGGGCACGTGATCTGTTGAAAAATAACAGCACTGAGTGAGGGATACGATGTAGTTTTATTTGTGTAGCCGTGGAAGGGATCTTTAGAAGGACTTTAAGGGAAAGAAAATACGTTTGTGTTTGTGTGTGTTGGGAGGGGAGACATGGGTCTTAAAACAGGAAAGCTACTAGAAAGTGAAAGACTCTAAAAGTTGATGAAAGGAGGGTGGCTTGATGACACTGTGATTTCTCCTTACCCCAGTAGCGGTGTGCGTCTCTCGGCTCTGGAATGATAAAAATCGTAATATCAAATGTAATCAAAGACATTAGGACTGGAA